CATACAAATGTAAAGAATGTGGCAAAGCTTTTAATCAAAAATCAAACCTTACTCGACACCAGAGAGTTCATACTGGAGAAAAGCCATACAAATGTAAAGAATGTGGCAAAGCTTTTAATAGAAAATCAAACCTTACTCAACATCAGAGATATCATACAGGAGAAAAGCCATACAAATGTGAAGAATGTGGCAAAGCTTTTAATAAAAAATCATGCCTTACTCAACATCAGAGAATTCATACTGGAGAAAAGCCATACAAATGCAAACAATGTGAAAAAGCTTTTAATCGAAAATCACACCTGACTTAACACCAGAGAGTTCATACTGGAGAAAGGCCATACAAATGTAAAAAGTGTGGCAAAGCTTTTAATAAAAAATCATGCCTTACTCAACACCAGATAATTCATACTGGAGAAAAGCCATACAAATGTGAAGAATGTGGCAAAGCTTTTAATAGAAAATCATGCTTTACTCAACACCAGAGAATTCATACTGGAGAAAAGCCATACAAATGCAAAAAATGTGAAAAAGCTTTTAATCAAAAATCACACCTGACTGAACACCAGAGAGTTCATACTGGAGAAAGGCCATACAAATGTAAAAAGTGTGGCAATGCTTTTAATCAAAAATCAAAACTTACTCGACACCAGAGAGTTCATACTGGAGAAATGCCATACAAATATAAAGAATGTGGCAAAGCTTTTAATAAAATGTCAGAACTTACTCGACACCAGACAGTTCATACTGGAGAAAGGCCATACAAATGTGAAAATAAGTGACAAAGCTTTTAATCAAAAATCACACCTTACTTGATACTGGAGGCTTCATAGTGAAAAAGTGCCATACAAATGTAAAGAATGTGGCAAAGCTTTTAATAAAAATCATGCCTTATTCAACACCAGAGAATTGATACTAGGGAGAAACCATACAAATATCTATAATTTAGCAAAGCTTCTAATTGAAGGTCACTCCTTAGTCAACACCAGAGACTTTTTATGGGAGAAAAGCCATACAAATTTGAGATTGTGGCAAAGATTAATCAAATATCTTATTTGACATCAGAGAATTAATATTAGAAAAAAGCTATACAAGTTTAAAGAATTTGGCAAAGCTCTTTATCAAAGATTACACATTTCTCAACACCAGAGAATTCATACTGGGGAGAAAACATACAAATGCAAAGAATGTGGCAAAGCTATTCTATTAGGAAAAGTATTGTTGTTCACCAAATATTCATACTGGATAAGAACCATGTAAATGTTAAGAATGTGGCAAATTTTAAGTATGCTTCAAGAAACAGATCATTCATACTTTCAACAATTCTCACAAATCTTTAGACTGTAAAAGTATTTTCCTGTAAGATCAAACCTCATTGGTCACCAGAAACTTCATACTGGGAAGAACAATTACAATTGTCCAGAGATAGCTCCACAGCACTGACTCCCCATAAAATTCCAACCTTTGCTCAACTGGCCATTATTCATTAGCCAGTGGAAGTCGGCAGGAAGCATGATTGAATCCTCCAGCTTCTTTCCTTCTGTGAACCTCTCTAGGTTCAATTGTCATTTCCTACGTTTTTCTGTATTGATTGAATTCAAATCATCTTTTTTTTTTTTTCAAAAGCTATATTTGGACTTAAAGGCCTATTTGTACCAAACCAACATATTAATAAAATTATCTTGTTCCCGAAGTCTATGATCACATCAATATTTTTCCCATAATCTCAGCTGGACAGAATAGTCCTATGTCAATGTCTTATTTCTTTTATTTTGGGTGTATACCGAGGATTAAATTCAGATGCACTCATCCACTAAGCCACATCCCATCCCTATTTTGTATTTATTTAGAGACACAATTTCACTGAGTTGCTTAGGGTATTACTTTTACTACTAAGACTGGATTTGAACTTGTAGTTATCCTGCCTAAGCCTCCTGCACTACTTAGATGCAAAACCAGTCTCAGCAATTTCACATGAATCTAAGCAACTTAGGAAGATCCTAACTCTAAATAAAAAGATTTGGGGATGTGTCTTAGTGGTAGAGAGCACTTTGGTTTGATCCCTAGTACAAAAAAAAAAAAAAGACAAAGAGGCTCAGGTTTTGGGGTCATCAGACTGAGTTTATGCTGTACATAAATTTGAACAATTTCATCATTTAAAATTTTTTAAAAAAATATACTAGCTATAGTTACTTAGTGATCACCATAGTGCTATAAAGCACAGATACCTCCACTAACTTTTACTATCACAGAAGTACCTCCATAATAATCCCACAATATTAAGATAATGCCTCTGTTGATGCAGGGATTCATTTGGTAGCTTCTGTTCAATTACTCTCTCAAAACAGGTGTGCACTTAATCCCAGAAAGTTTCAGTAATTCAGACTCAAAAATCATGCCTTACTCAACACCAGAGAATTAATACTGGAGAAAACCCATACAAATGTAAAGAAGGTGTCAAAGCTTTTAAGAAATATTATCAGGCATGGTAGACACGTCACACCAATTGGAGGATGGGCAGAGCAGAGCCGCCACCTGTGCCCGCAAGGTAGGCAGACCTGCGACTGACAGGCAGATCAGGCCTAGTGGCCTGCCGGCATGGTAGACATGTCACCCCAATTGGAGTAGGGGCACAGCAGAGCCTTCGCCCGCACCCAGAACATGCCCAGCGCCCTGACAGCGTGGTAGTCACGTCACCCCAATTGGAGTAGAGGCAGAGCAGAGCTGCCACCCATGCCCGGAAGGTAGGCAGGTCTGTGACTGACCGGTGGAACAGGTCCAGTGGCCTGCCGGCACGGCAGACACATCACCCCATTTGGACTAGGGGCAGAGCAGAGCCGCCGCCGGTGCCCTCAAGGTAGGCAGACCTGCGACTGTCCAGAGGAACAGGCCAAGCGGCCTGCCGGCATGGTCGACACGTCAACCCAATTGGAGTAAGGGCAGAGCGAAGCTGCCGCCCACGCCTGCAAGGTAAGCAGACCTGCGACCAACCTACAGAACAGACCCAGCGGCCTACCAATGTGGTAGACAGATCACCCCAATTGGAGGAGTAGCACAGATGCTTCCCGCCCTGTAAGGGAGAGTATTCAACTATACAAGAGCAAGATAAATATATATCAGGAAAATTTCAAAAACAACAGTTTGACCAAGCAGAAAGAAACATGAGCAGTATGAAACGACAAGGAAAGAAAGGACCACAAGCAATGCAGGTCAACTAAACTTTAGAAGTGGTAATAGCTGCAGCAGATGAAATGTCAGATAAAGAATTCAGGATATACATACTTCAGATGATCTGGGGTCTCAAGGAAGACATTAGACAGCAAAACCAGACAATGAAAGAACACTTCTACAATTAATTACATAATCAAATCCAAAATGCAAAAGATCAACTATACAGGGAGTTAGAGGTAATAAAAAACAAACAGATATCCTAGTAATACAGGAAGCAATAAACCAACTTAAAAACTCAATTGAGAATACTACCAGCAGAGTAGAACACTTAGAAGATAGAACATTAAACAATGAAGACAAAGTATTTTAACTTGAAAAGAACATAGACAGCTCAGCAAGACTGTTAAGGCACCATGAGCAGAACATCCAAGTAATATGGGATAACATAAAGAGACCTAACTTAAGAGTCATTGGGATACAGGAAGGTATAGAGGTTCAAACCAAAGTAATGAGCAATCTATTCAATGAAATAATACGAGAAAACTTCCCAGACTTGAAAAATGAGACAGAATCCCAAATCCTAGAAGCCTACAGGACCTTGAATGTACAAAATCATAAGAGATCCACACCTAGACACATTATAATGAAGATGCCCAGCATACAGAATAAGGAGAGAATTATAAAAGCTACAAGAGAAAGGAAGCAGATTACCTTTAGGGTAAACCAATCAGGATAACAGCTGATCTTTCAACACAGACTCTGAAAGCTAGAAGATCCTGAAATAACATATTTCAAACACTGAAAGAAAATGGGTTCCAACCAAGAATCGTGTATCCAGCA